TCAGTGGTCGTCATTGCTGGGCTGGTTATGTGTCAGGGGGCATGGCTGAGGCACTCGGCCCTCCCCGCTCCTTGGCTTGGGGGCCCAGGGGGCTTCCAGTCCTTCTAGGTTTTACAGGTGTTCTTTGGTGAAGTGAGACCTTTACTAGTCAATATCAAACTTTGTCTCTGGTCTGTGGGTATTTTGTTTTTTCTTTCAGTTCTGTGTTAGATTATTTGCTGTTTCCACTACTTAAACTCTGCAATGGAACTAATTTGTTGTCCTTTGCTTACTTCTAAAATGGGGGAACTTCCTGTGGGGACCAACACTTGAGCCCTGTAGTTGAGCCAAATTGCTGCTTTGCTGCTGATTCCCTGGGGAAGGTTTTTTGTGCAGCTCTGGTTTTAATGGTTGACTTTGTAGATATTTCCAGGTCTTGTGAGATCCGGTACACCTGGGTTGTGTAGAAACTCTAGTCTGGACCTGAGTCTTTCCAGCAAACTGCTCGCCCTGCAGTTCTATATTCCTGACCAGTCCACAAAGAGTGGGCCTGTGCTGATTGCAGGGCAGATCAGCTGTCCTTGCTGTGCTCGTGTTTCTCCAGTGGCCTGTTTCCCCCACCACTTATACTCCAAACACTTCTCGTGGGAAGGGTCATGCCTAGTCCCTTGTGATGAGTCACTGGCCTCTGAGTGGCTCCTTTTTTCAGTTGTTGTGGCTCCTCACTCCTATGTGCATTCATGGAGCCCTGTTAGTGGTCTTGCTGGCCCTCTTCTCCCCTGCTACATCCAAGCAACTTCATAGGAAGGGCACAGCAACAGCTTTTGCCAGCTCTTGCTCTGTGTGCTCACCAGGGACAGTCTTAAAGCATCCTGGGCTTGAAACGGTCATGGTGGTCCTTTCTTTCTCTCATTATGGCTTCTCCCGCCTTCAAGCACTCTGTAAGTCTCTCCTCCTCTTCCCCTGAGCTCTAGTGGCCCCAGCTTAGCTGTCATTGCTTTTTAATAGTTGTAAATTGGTTGATTTGTGGGAGAGAGTGATGCTGAGCACCATCTATTCTGCCATCTTGACTGGAAGCCCCACAAAGTATTTTTAAGGAAAATCATAACTGTGGTAAGATTAGACATTTGGCTTCCTTGTGTGGTCACATACCAGATGAAAAATTAAAGCACCATCCAATTATTAGTTTGAAAAATCTATATTCCTCAACTATAAGTATATACAACTCTGCTTATTGAAAACAACTGGTTTGTGTAGGTTGTTTCCCCCACTGGTTATAGATTAGCTACTGATGTTTTTTTTCAGACTCCAAACAAATAATTTAAAGTATGTTAAATTCCAGCATGACGAGAGAGGCCTCAGACAGAGAACTCTTGTCCTCTTTTTTTGGTTCTCATTTGAAGTTGCCTAAATCAGAATCCTCCAAAGGGTTTCACTCGTGGGAGTAAAGAAAGCCCCTAAAGACAGATCTCATCCTTTTTCTTGGAAGCCTCTGCTTCCAGGTTGGCTTTTCACTTTTCAGTCTCCCAATCTGTTTGCATTGTTGCATATTGATGGATTTAGGTGCCAAACATAATTTCAGTGAAAGTGAAAAGCAAAAGACCCTCAAGGGACAAAAATAACAGGATTACAGTATCAATCGTGAAAAATCACTGTATCGGTCCACTCCCTCAAACACAGGAGATAAACTGAAATCCAGAGACAATTAGAGCATGAACTGTAGAGAGAGCTATATACACAGTAAAGAGCACATAAACCTCTGATTCTTTTCTCCTACACAACTGTTTGCCCACACAGGGGGAAAAAAGAAAAAGAAAAAGAAAAAAACACAATTGTTCACCCATGAGCAGTGATGATCCATTTTCCAAATACATCTTTTGCAATTACTACAATGGTGAGCACACCCTAGCTTGACAAAGCAACACTCTGGACACATATCTATCATTTCCCCAAGCTTCATGTACTTTTTAGTAACATTTCCTTTGGGTACTACCTGGGGCCAGTAAGCATAGCTCAGATGAGATGGCAGTGTGCATACTTCTAAGCAGTTAAAAATGACTCTGTTGGGCCGGCCCGGTGGCGCACTGGCGAGTGCGCCGCTTGGGAGTGCGGCGGCGCTCCCGCCGAGGGTTCGGATCCCATGTGGAGACCGGTTCCCACTCACTGGCTGAGTGTTGTGCGGGCGCAGTGCCGAGGGTTGTGATCCCGTTGCCGGTCCCCGGTACGGGCGCGACACTGAGGGTTGCGATCCCGTTACCGGTCAGTAAAAAAGACAAAAAGGAAAAAAAAAATGACTCTGTTGATCAGAGTACCAAGGCAGCAACATGACAACATCACCACAAACTCTGCACAGACCAGAATGCATGTCACAATGGCACAGATCACACCACAGCCATCCAGATGACTCAAACATTGTCTTCCATGTCAGCCTCGGAGAAAGAGGAAGATGATGATGAAGCATAACTTTCAACCAGAAGAAGATGGTGGTCAAGGTCCCAGTGACTGCATCACTGCTTTGACTTGCCTTTACAAACTATCCCTAAACACTACACGGACATTGTGCCTTTTCTTCAGGATCTTAGGGTGCACATACTTTCTCATGCAATAGGATATGAGGCCCAAGTGGAGCTGCTCAGCACTGTGGCTCCTCCTGCTGAGGCAGGGACACATCAGGCTGGGCAGATGCTGGAACCCAGAGCTCTGTAAGGGACAGCAGGATAGCACAAACCCCAGAAGTGAGTCTGGGGACCTCAGTTGTCCAGCACTTGCTTATATTTATTTTTATATCTATACATATAGATACTTGTGAGTTCAAACCATTAAATCTGGTTTCGATCTAAAATCAAAAGATTCATTCTAGCATTCTTCCTTTCCATATCTGTAATTTCCTGCTCTGGCAAGGAACAGCCTGGCTCCCATTGCCCTTAATATATATTTTTTATTTGATCAGTCCCCCTGTGACTATGAACTTGCATCACTGCAGCTAACCCCTATCCCATGCAGACGCTCACCTCACCCCACTTGGGTTCTGATATTCACCAACCATCATTCCCACCCACATGAATGTTCCCATCTGGGCTTCAACACCCAGCGCTGGGCAGCACACATCCCAGATGCTCTCTTCACCTGTTTGGACTCTGAAATTCCACGCTGAGTAGTCATCCTTATGAACGCCCTCCTTACTTTGCTCAGGTTTACACTTCATGCTGGTCCGTTCCACCACTTGGAATGCCCCCTATTAGGATCTGGCACCCTGTACCAAGCCAATCCCTGCATGAACACCCTTCTTACCTTGCTAAGGCTCTGAGTCCCTGCTCTGAGCCAACCTTATAGATTTAGGACTGAGCTTCTCAGAAAGGGAACAGGAAGAAAAAATGTGTTATAATTTGAAATAAGACAAGTAGTTCTCTGATAAACTAACTTTGCATGGTCTTAGCCATATTCCTTACCTTTATCAGCCAGGTTTCCTCTTCAGAAGTTAGGACTGACAAATTTTGACCTAGAATTTAGGACACCTGACTTCCTAATTCTGTTTTTATTGTTCTATGCCACTCTGCCTTTCCAAGTATAAAGCTATTTCCTCAGTCCAGCTTTTCAAATTTATCTCTCAAAGACACTTAACAGTACAGAAGAATGGAAAGAATTCTTCATATTAAAAAAAAGTCACTATAATTTGCATTTTTCTCTATAAAAAATTAATTTGATTCAATATAAAAAGACAAAATTATTTGGCAGGTAAATTGAAACTCTTTAGTCCAAACCTTTAAATAAAGCTGACGCTCCAAAAGGACTCAACATATTCTCTTTATTCCACAGAAGTATAGGCCTATGTTGCACACAATCATACACACACAGTCACATTTCCAGTGACACCCGTGATATTCTATATCCAGATACTCAAAACCATACATATCCATCTTCGCACAGCCTTGCCGCACCCTATCACTCAACAATTCCCCGCACACAGCGACACACATACCCATACCATCACTCACACATCGTCACACTCTGTTACAGTCAGTACAGCCACAATCTCTCATAGAGCCTGTCACTTCATTGCTCACAGTCACAAAATCACACTCCCAGGCTGCTTTCTGTGGCTTTCCCCCGACAGTCAGAAGTCGCTTGGTTCACTATACCCAAAGAATTACACACACACACAGAAACACAACCCACCCACCGCCAGACAGGCGAGGTCGATCCCACAACCCTCAGTGACACACACACACACTCGCACACTCACTCACAAAGCCAGGTACAAAGGGCCACGCACCCATTCTTTAAGATACACATATCGAGCGCTTGCTGTGTACCAGGCGCTGGGACTACCTCAGAGGAAGAAACAGACAAAATTCCGCTTTGCGGAGCTCGCGTCCGGTCCCGCAAGCTCTCGTCCTCGGGGTCGCACCCATGGATGTCCCCCGCAGTCCGGCACTCAGGCAGTTTCGCGAGGTTTGGATAGCCCAGACAGACCCCAGAGAGTGAGCTCTCCTCAGTCTCCCGCGCCGGTCCCTGGGACCTCTGCAGTAGCTAACGGATCCGCGCGCGCCTGCGCCTGCGCAATCGGAGGCCAAGCGCATCAGCTTCCGGCTGCGGACTACATTTCCCAGAAGCCCCATGGACGGCGATAGCTTGGACCCCGAGAGCCCCTGTCCATGTTCTTAATGGTTCAGCCAACCGGGTGAGTTGGTCGCATCTAGAAAAGAAGTCGGCGCTAGGTGAGGCGCAGGAGTGGGTATGAGGCTGTCGTCCAAAGTGAGGAGCCCTGGGGCGCGGACATGTCGTGTGGTGTCCGGAGGGATCCTCAGGCCTGTGCGTGCGTGAGGCGCCCAGAAGGGGGATTGTGTGATCAAGTGTGACAGATTGTGTGTGTGTGTGTGTACGCGCGCGACTGTGCTCTTGCCACCGGGTTGGGCCTTCATGAAGGTGAGTGCAATTGTGAGTCTGAGACTGGTGCTTGGCACTTTGGTGTGTGTCACTGGCAGTTCCAGGTTCCTGCTGCTTTCCCCGCCCTCTCTCCTCACAGCCCCGAGTGTCTGCACAGAGCAGTGTCCCCAAGAGGAAAGTCAAATATTGAGCCCTAGGATGAAGGTTCCCAGCGAGAAGGCATAGACCTGGGTCTGGGATTGGACTTTTAAGTTAGAAGTGTCCCTGAAACAGACTCCTGGGACGACATGATGGAAGGATTCCCACTTGGGGGTGCTGTGTAGGCAGCTGCGTTTTTCAGAACCACAGTATTTCCATACCTCCGATCCTGGAAAACTGCTGTGAATTCAGAGACAGGTTCCATCCTTCCTCTTGCATCTGGTTTTTTGTGTGACGTCAGAGCAGATGCGGCCCTGAGGGGATTTGCTAGGCCGGCCTGTGCTCTAAGAAAGTTTGGTGTCTCATGATTTTCCTTCTTCCCCAATCCTGCCTTTCGTCAAAAGAAGGATCCTGAGGAAGAGGAAAAAAATGTTGTAGCACGTCTAAAAGTCCAGTTCCAGGTTAGTTTGTGTTTCCTAAGTGCACTTTTGTATTTAGGACATGTAAACATTTTCTTTTCTTTTCCTGAAATGCCCAGTGACCTCTCTTAGACCTTCCTTCCAGGTGAATCATGGATCATGCAGATGGATCCTCCTCGTCACTGGCCTCCAAATGTCTCTCTCCTCATTTTGAAAATCATCCCTCTGAACTTTTTTTTTTTTTTTTGGTTGTTTCTTTTAGAGTGGTATTTTCAAACAGGGTTTGACCCAGGAGGCTGTCAAATCAGTTTAGTGCTGTTTCTTTAAACAGCAGTAAAGAAAAAAAAAAAGAAAAAGAAAAAGAAAGAAAAACGTAGAATAGAAACTTCTTTGTGGGGAGGGGCATATATTTGTCTATAACTACGCACTGGGTTGGGTTGAGAAACAGATTTCTTACTGGGAGTGCTGGTCAATAACGTCTGGAAACCAGTTTTAGCTTGTGTTAGAACCTCTCCTGTGCTTCTGGGGAGGTGTTTTGGAGCTCATGGCTGAGTCTTAATGTGTCTCTGGGTCAAAGGTCCCCTGAGTCTCCCTGAAAAGATGTCTGTCCTGTGTTTGGCGTGTGCACCTATGTTTGCACCGGTGTGAACCCAAAACCATGTCTTTGTGACAGAATGTCTGAGACTTTGTGCTTGGAAACGTGCATTTGGGTCTCAGAAATCCTCTGAGGGCGACTTGACCAAGAGCTTTGAGAGTGTTTCCTCTGGGCAGGGGTATTGGCTGGTACACTCACCACGTGTGACTGGATTTCCAGGATGCTCAGAGTGTGCCCCCGTTTCTACGGGCATCCATCTTTAGGCACATGTCTTTGTGATGATGTTGTTGACTGTGGGTGGGTCTGTGGCTACCTTTGCGGGGAGTGGGGGAAGAGGGTGTCTTGCACAGTGCTGAGTCTTTCTCTAGAAGGGGTGAGTCTGTATGCGCCCTCTCCAGGCTCCTGAGTATGTGTGCTTTGCTGGGTGTATGTATATTGCCGGAGGGCTGAATTCTGAAGCTTTCTGAGCCTGGAGGTGTGCTTCTGGTAATGGACGTCCTTGGGGTTTCTCTTGACAGTGTGCCTGTGTATTTGGGGTGGTGGTATATTCTTTTAGTGTGACTGTGTTCTGCAGGCCCCACGCCTTGGCGGCACCTACTGAATGAACGTGGGCAGGGAGATCAGTTTCTCGGGTGTGTACCTGGGGTAGAGGTTTAGGGGCGTATTCCCAATTTGGTGTCTTGAAGGGAGGGGGTGGAGCTTCCTCCTCTGGGTGTGCCTCTAAGGACAGGGACTGTGTCTCATTCACCATTGTATTCCCAACATCAAGGAGAATGCCTGGCAAAGAGGAAACCTCAAAAAATATTTGTTAGATGATGATTTGTTTAATGAGTCTCTATAACAGGGGGCTGGCCCGTTAGCTCAGTTGGTTAGAATAATATATTATAAGACCAAGGACAAGGGTTTGGATCCCCATACTGGCCAACTGCCAAAAAACAAACAAAAAAGAGTCTCCATAATGGAGTTTCTGGAAAGTTTTGGAGGATGTGCTCCTCCAAGAATGTCTTTGAGTTTCTGTCTTTGAGTTTGTGTAATTACATTTCTGCATGTGGAATTGCTGCTGTCCAAGATTCTTTTTGCTTCCAGTGTGTATGTGAAACAGTGTCTCCCTCTAGGTGTGGGTATCAGACAGAGTGAGGGAGGGCCAGTTGTCTCTCTGGCTTTGTTGTTTGTGACAGTGTTTCCCAGTAGGTATGTCCTGTCTTCCTGGTGTCTGAATTTATGAAGACGGATGTGTTTTCCTTTGAGTGTCCCCGTAAATGTGTGTGCTGTAATAGTAAATCAGTGAGGAGGTCTGTTTCCATCTGTCTCTGGGTGTGTCTGTCTGCATGACAGGGACAACCTATGTCTGTGAGTTTGTCTCTACATCTTTCATGTCTTTCTGAGGGGCTCTGTTCCCACCTGCCAGGGTCACTATTCTTTTTTTTTTTTTTGTCTTTTTCCGTGTCCGGCAACGGATCGCAACCCTCAGTGTCGCCCCCGTACCGGACCGGGACCGGCAACGGGATCACAGCCCTCGGTGTTGCTCCCGCGCCTCGCTCAGCCAGTGAGCGGGAACCGGTCTGTATGTGGGATCCGAACCCTTGGCGGGAGCGCCGCCGCACTTCCCAAGCGGTGCACTATAGCAGTGCGCCACCGGGCCGGCCCGAGGGTCACTATTCTCATGTCACATTGTGTGTTTGCACAGCCTGCTGCACAGATGTCGCACTGGGTGGAGCATGTCACAGGCTCTGGCCGGGTGTATTAGTCCATTTCTGTTACTTATAACAAAATACTTGGAACTGGGTAACTTATAAAGAAGACAAAATTTATTGCTTAGTTTAAAAGAGAAGTACAGAGGCCAGGAAATGCATCTGGTGAAGACCTTGGTGGTGACAGTGACACAGGGGTAGAATGGCAGAGCAGAGAGAGAGTAAACTCCTCATTCACTCTCCTTTTAAAGCCACCAGTACCACTCCCATTGTTCCAAGAATGGATCAATCTATTTATGACAGTACAGTCATCACAATGTAATCACCTCTTCAAGGCCCCACCTTTCAATTACCATAATAGGATTTTCCACTCTCAACAGTTACAGTGGGGATTAAGTTTTGGAGGGACATTCAGTCCAAGGCACCAGGTATTATCAGGGTTTTGAACTCGCTTTTTATAATGGTAGAGAAATGCATATCCTGGAGTCTACGGTTAAAACTTTGTTTTATTGAAATTAATGTTTAGGTAAAATCACATCATTGATCTGCTCCAAAGACCTCAGCTTAAAAGTATAGTAGGGGGGCCAGCCCGTGGCTCACTCGGTAGAGTGCGGTGCTGATAACACCAAGGCCACGGGTTCGGATCCCATATAGGGATGGCCGGTTCGCTCACTGCCTGAGCGTGGTGCTGACAACACCAAGTCAAGGGTTAAGATCCCTCGGTAGAGTGCGGTGCTGATAACACCAAGGCCACGGGTTCGGATCCCATATAGGGATGGCCGGTTCGCTCACTGCCTGAGCGTGGTGCTGACAACACCAAGTCAAGGGTTAAGATCCCTCGGTAGAGTGCGGTGCTGATAACACCAAGGCCACGGGTTCGGATCCCATATAGGGATGGCCGGTTCGCTCACTGCCTGAGCGTGGTGCTGACAACACCAAGTCAAGGGTTAAGATCCCCTTACCGGTCATCTTTTTTAAAAAAAAAAAGAAAAGTATAGTAGGGTCAGAGATGGTTTGACTGGTGTCAGTAAGTAAGTGGCATGGTTATCTGCTTTGTAGGCTTTTAGGAGTGGGAATGTGATTGGAAGTCTGAGCATAGAAATCTGTGTAAACTTGGGCAGGGATTTTCCATAGAATCAATGAGTTGAGATTTATGTTTCTAAAGAGTTAATCATAGGAAAAAAATGTATATGTGAGGTAAAGTAATATTCATAGTGATGAACAATAATAGTCAAATTTTAATTTTGTATGAATCTCATTTACTAATATTGGGATTTAAAGACATTTACAAGGATTATATCCAAAATGATACTTCAATTGATTATTCATGGAGACGTAGAGGAGAACCAAACACTGCTCTGTCTGCTTTGCACAGATTTTCTTATTCAGTCTGCAGATGCTACCTGCCTTGACTTGTTCATTCAAAGAAGAATTGTAATGGTAAAAAAAAAAGTCTTGTATTGAAGAAGAATGTTCAAGAACTGGTAGGCATTATTTATAACAATCACAGTGATTTTCTTACTGTTTCCACATTTGTCAAACGAATTTGCTTCTACCATGTTAAAATTTTTTATTTTAAAATTGGGTATAGATTTATTGTGTACTTCTGATTATGAAATTAGTGCTCACTTTTGGTAAAGAATTTGGTTACATTACATAAAGGACTTACAAAGAAGAAAGGTAAAATAGCCCTAGCATCACTATCACTATTAATATTTTGGGGAGATATATTTTAGCAAAATTTTCTGTACACTTTTACGAAGATACTTCAAAAGTTCATGAAAAGATTCATATTATCTTTTAATTCTATTTTCCCATGAAAATTTGTTGTTGTTGTTGTTGTTGTTGCTGGCTGGTAAGGGGATCCAAGCCCCATGACCTTGGTGTTGTAAGGCTGCACTCTAACCCACTAAACTAACCAGCCAGCCCTTTTCCACGATTTTTTCGAAGTAGCCGTGTGTGTGTATATGTGTGTGTGTGTGTGTGTGTGTGCGCGCGCGCACTTTTCTTCCTGCAGAATAGAAATTACACTAATTGATCATTCAAATGACAAAGAGACTATCCAACTCCTAGTTAGGAAAAGTAATTCTACATAACCATAACATTTTTATATCTCCATACGTACAGGGGAAGAGGGAAGTACCAAGGAACCCCTCTAAGTTTGATTAACCTTCCAGGTATATACACCTTTTAGGATTATACAAATCAGTGAAGGGTAATTATTATGGCACAATTTATCAAATAAGATAACCCTTCAGGATTACACTTCTTTTGGGATTTTTTTTTTTTTTTTCGAATCTTTTGGGATTTTTAAGGTTGCTTTTACAGGACATAGCAATACTTTCTCTTGTCCAGGCATCATTTAAGGTTCCATTATGCAAATGCCATTTTGTAGAACAGATTTATAATAGTAGAAAACAGAATAAGATGGTAATAGCTATAAATATTCTTGTAAATCTTTACATAGGACAGGAGAACAAGACGTTAAAGTGCTTCATTTAATGCCTTATTAGATTCTTTTAGCTGGTTTTATGTTGAAGAATGATGTCTCCCCTTTAGTAACTACAGGGACAAGGACAGATTTCTTGATTTCAGAAACAGATTTCTGAGATTCTGCTTTGCTAATATTGTTAATTGAAATTAACTGCATTTTCAAGGCTTGGCTCTAAAATATTTAAAGTATAGATGTAAAAAAGAGTGGGCATGAGATTCAAATTTTGGTATAAAAAAGGAAACAATAGAAAATGATTTTATTTAATAACAATGGAATAAAGGACATATAGTGTTCTTTATTTTGATAATACTCTCTAACTTTTATTAACAAATTATATGTTACTAAGTGGAGTAAATGTGTTAACTCAATCTTCATGATAGCCCTACGGGACAGGTGCTGTTCTTATCTCTGGTTTACCAATAAACTAACTGAAAAGTTAGTAGCTGTCAGACTAAGATTCACATTCTGAAAGTCTGACAACAGAGTCTGTGTTATCAATGACAACATTATAACCCCACCCATAACTGTACATACTTTTTTTTTTTTTTTTAAAAAGATGACCGGTAAGCGGATCTCAACCCTTGGCTTGGTGTTGTCAGCACCATGCTCAGCCAGTGAGCAAACCGGCCATCCCTATACAGGATCCGAACCCGCGGCCTTGGTGTTATCAGCACCGCACTCTACCGAGTGAGCCACGGGGCGGCCTATACTTCTTTAATTTTTCTGTATCAATCAGTGATTCAACATAGATGTCCTCCTCCAACAATAAATATGGACCAATATAATCAGTACTAATAAGGTCTGAGTGTGCCGTCATAACTGACCACAATTTATTTAACCTGTTGCCCACTATAGCTATTTATATTTATAATATTTGGTTATTATAAGTTGTTATATGATAAACATCTTATACATATATATTAATTTACTTTTATAACCATTTCCTGAGGGAAAAATGCCTAAAAATGGAATTTTAGTCAAATGTCAGACATAAGGGCTCATAGTATGTTGGATCTTGTGATAGTAGTTAGAGGAATATAAGAACTGAAAACAGTTGCTACCTTACAGCAAAGAACTTAAAATCAGAATGGACTGAATAAATACAAGGTAGAAGGTAATAAAAGCCACTAGAGAAAATAAGGTCACATGCCTTGGGAGTTCATAGGAAAGAAATGTCCAGTGCTATCCAATAGAACTTCGTATGATGATGGATATGTTCTGTGTTCTCCAGTATGGTAGCTACTAGCCACATGTGGCTATTGAAGACCAGAAATGTGGCCAGTATGGCTGAGTAACTGAATTTCTAATTTTGTTTAATTTAAAATTTGATTTAAATAGCAATGTGTGGCTATCAGCTGTTGAGTGGGACAGCACAATTTTATACCTTAAGTTTTTATTGTAATGATGTTAGATTCAAAGTGAGACTAATTGGACAAGATTATTCAGCAGCAGTTTGGAGGGCATTGTGGCTGAAGTACAGTTTCAGAGGAAAATAAACTGTCAGGAATACATCCATCAGGAGTATATGGAAAGAAGCCTCATTGTGACCAGCATCAATGTACAAGATGTTGCAGTCCATTAATATACATGGATATATATAAAAAAAATCAATGAGTTGGTTCAGGTGTAAGGTGCTAAAGGGAAAAAAGACATTCAATAAAAGTATGACAGCTGTTTTTACATTATCTTAAGCTTTTTCTCCAAAGTCAAAAGAAGATTATTTAAGAAAGGAAGAATGTTCTCTCATCAAAATGAACTATGTATGTATGTATGTGTATATTTTAAATTGCTTTAAAAATTTATGGATTGTACTTTAAAAGAATATCAAGTAATGTTATGCAGATCAGCAGCAGTGTTGACGTATGTACATTTTTGAAATTCTTTCTCTGTCTTAATTTCTGCCTGTTTGTCATTTATTTTCTTTCTTTATATATATGTGTGTGTGTTTTACAAATGTAGTTATATTGTACACTCTGGTTTTTAACCTAATTTTTCTGTTTGTAATATATCCTAGATATTTTCCACATCCTTTAAGTATTGTCTCCAATTTAGCACAGTATTTGATATCTACTTAATATTCCATTATGTAGATGGTCTGTAATATACTTAACAAGTCAGCTGTTGCTGGACTCAATGCTGAACCTCGCCATCCCTTCGTACACTTTAATACATATTTACAATCATTTGCTTTGGACAGAGTCCCAGAAGTAGGTTTGTATTGTTAAATTCTTTCACATACTTCTATATATGCACTGTTTTAAGGTTGTACAAATCAATCGCATCTACAAAGTATCCATTTCCCCGTGATGTTGCCCATATGGCATATCATTTTAGTATTTTAAATCTGCCAGTCTAATAACTGTGAATTGTTATTTCTTTATCAATTATGTCCTTAATTGTATTGAAATTTAATAACTTTGATGGATGATGTTATTTTTAGTGAATTACCCATGCTCAGGTTTCACTCATAGGAGGAAATAATGAGCTTCAGAGGCAAAAGTCAGATTTGGAAGAGAGGTGGCTTTGTATTTATAGAAACATGGTTTCAAAACACAGGTCTGTCTCTTACTGTGAATTCAGGAAAAAACTTTACTTTGAGCCTCCACTGTCTCATCTCTTGAATGGAGATAACTGCGTTGCATGATTAAATGTTAATGTGATAAAGGACCCACCATGTAGAAGATCCTAAAAATATCTATTTTTGTTGTTACCACCTGGCAACCATGGGACTGAATTCACACCTCCCCAGTCTTGATATTCAGATATTGGGGTGGTCAGTGAATTCTTGCAGGAAAGCTGTATAGATGATCTTGATTAGGAAACAGGGATTGGTTGGAAACAGAGCCCAGAGGATTCTGGGGGCTGTAGTTCTGGCTGGGGAAGGACTCTATGTGGGGAAGTGTGGTTTTGCAATGGGAAAGGCTACCTGCTTTTTTCTGCCTTCATGTCTGTGGAGTCCAGGCATATATCTAAGCCATGAATGACATGCGGGTTTAGATGGCACAGTCCCTCCTCAGCCCTAAGGTGGACTTGGATGAAAGAAGATCTGCTCAGTGCAACACTTAACAATTTAGTGTCAACTATAGAACAGCATCATCAGAAATTGGGGTGGGCCGGAGACTCTACTGCTGGAGTGCTTGGTCTGGCTTCATACAGGAGGCCTCTGCTCTGTATCTACACTTGTGCAGGTGGTTTCCCATGATACAGGAAGAGCATGGCCATATCCAGACTCCCTCTTCTCTCTCGCAATTTATATGTGTAGTGTGGGGGGTTGGAAGTAGAAATGAAGGAAAAAGAGGGTTACATTAACTTAAGTAGTTTTGGGAATTCTGAGACATACCTAATCTCAAAGTCACTTGTTCCTCCCTCAGCCCTGGCTTCCCTGGATTCTTTGCTTCTCTGGTGGAGGAAGCCCAAGAAGAACTGACAAGTTCTTGCAATTCTAAAACCATGGCCCATGTAAGTTTGCGTTCCTTTTCCTTTTTTTCCACAGTCCCTTTAAGTGAAATATATTTCTCTTCCTTGAAATTCTGTTTTAAATTCATGGACTGGCCAGTTAGCTCAGTTGGTTAGAGTGCCACCTTGCAACACCAAGGTCAAGGGCTCAGATCCCTGTACCAGCCAGCTGCCAAAAAAAAAAAAAATTCGTGTGATTATTTTTATTATCCTGAGACATCCTTCCTAAGACAACTCTGCTGTTGAACTCGCTCCACAGTGACTCTGATCACAGCAAAGGATTGTGCCAAACAACTAGTGTCTTCCTCATTTTCTCCTTTTTTTCTTTTACTTGTGCTCACCTATTCATCATTCACCTATGTGCCCAGTCTTCTATCAGAAGCATTGATGGAGAAGTAAAAGATGAAGTCCTTCAGGGGAAATATTTGAGCTTCCATCATCAAAGTTGTGATTCTGTGACACAGAAATGGTGGTCCCATTAGACTCCACAGACATGAGTTTTGCAGGTCGATAGGATGGAATTTAGTGTTGAGTGTTTGCCATCCCAGATGTCTTCCAAGTCAGCCTCAGAGGATGAGGTGAGATCTCATGCCTTCAGAGACTTGAGAGAACAAGTTGGAGTGTGATTGGGGCCTGTATATGGGGGTTTCAGGGGTCTAGCCAGGAGATCCCTGAGGGACAAAGGTCAGTTTTGTGGTTGAGGAGGCTGTGCTGGTCTCCAGTGACATCGGTGTCATTGTGGATCATTCTACATCAGCGTCCTTTAGCTCAGGAACAAGGCAAGTGAGGGACGTTGGGGATGGCAGATAAGAAGATGCTGCAAATCCCTAATTGTGGATGGAAATAGGTTCACAGGATTGGGTAAGACCTAAATGTTTTGTCTAACCTAAATGCCTAAGTATAAAAGAAGGATTAGTCTGATAATCTCCACAAGATGGATGATACAATGAGCCAGCCAATAAATATATTAACTGAAAACTATGCTTATGGTGTTATTTTGCATAATGATGAACCTGAGTTTCTATGAAATTGCATGATGTCAATTAAGTCCTATTTTATAAGATAAAGATTTTGGAGTACTTTTGGGGAAAAAAAATTTTTTTTTTCAGTTTCTTGAAGGGAAGAGAGGATGATGGAACTCACATTTATTCAGAACTTAAAAATGCAGGCACATAATAGGCAGAGTGTGTATTTATGATATTTTACTTAATTGGGAAACTTTGATTATTTTATTCATTCCCAGACCCTTGGATAATTATGTTATCTCATGGTATACAGGACATTTTGTTTGCATCAACAGATAGTATTCTTTAAAAGTATATGGGCACTCTACTTCAGAAATACTAATTTTTTATTCTTCTACACATGTCGCAGGCTTGAACTCCAGTTTACTTTCCTGTAGTATTGCTTCTTTTCTGCAAAGCAGTTTTCCATCTTGAAAATACATTTAAAACTTTTTTTATAATACAAAGGTCCATCATTTCAGGTGTCCTTGGCATTCAGGGATGTGGCCATAGACCTCTCCCAAGAGGAGTGGGAGTGCCTGGACCCTGTTCAGAGGGACTTGTACAGGGATGTGATGTTGGAGAACTACAGCAACCTGATCTCACTGGGTAAGCTATCCACCCAAATAACTTACAATCTGTTTTCTGGAATATCAGATTCCTCCACTGTCAAATTTCAGTTTTCTGTTTTAAGAAGCCAGCTGAATTTCTTCCCCTTATTTTGAAAGAAATAATTGGAGTATTGTTGGGGTGCAAATGGGCACCTGTGTTAAGCGCCTTTACCTTCCCCATCCTTCAGTGCCATTCACCTCTCCCTCTGGGGTTCCTGTTATTGTCTGTTTTTCTAAATGACTCCCAGATTTGAATCATGTGACATTTTCAAAGAAACCAGATTTCATATAGTGTGGATACTCAGAATTCCTGTAGCTGCTCTGTGTTAATGTCTGGCCCACCTGCAAAAGAAAAATAGGGTTCTGGTTTTCTTTGAGTATCAGAATCGCCTCTCTGGATTATATAATGGTAGACTGGGTTAACAATATTCATTTAAAATTCAAGCAGATGGGCCGGCCTGTGGCTCACTCGGGAGAGTGCGGTGCTGATAACACCAAGGCCACGGGTTTGGATCCCATATAGGGATGGCCGGTTTGCTCACTGGGTGAGCGTGGTGCTGACAACACCAAGTCAAGGGTTAAGATCCCCTTACCGGTCATCTTTTAAAAAAAATAAATAAATAAATAAAATAAAATTCAAGCAGACACACCCCATCCCAGAAGAGACATATTCTCTTTAATCTGCTTTATGGTTGAAAGTTACGGTCTGTGAATTTTGCATTTTCCATTGAAAGAATATCTGAGGAAGAACCTGGAAGTGTTTTTGAAAACTTATTTTATTTCCCTTAGCAAAATAGTAACAACAAAATAACACTATATACTAGGCATCCTTTTAAGCCTTCACATATATTAATTCGCTTAATTCTCACAACAGCTCTGTGAAGTAGGTAACATTAGTCCCATTTTGCATTTGATAAAAGTGCAACACACAGAAGGTAAGTAACTTTTCAAGGTCACACAGCTGGTAGGTGGCAGAAGATTTGAACCCAGGCCATAGAGCTCCAGAGTGTTCACATGACCCCTCTCTATACCACCTTTAAAAGCAGAGCAGACCTGGCCCTTTATAGAAAAAGCTTGCTGACTTCAGCTCTAAAAACATTTTACTTTTAAGGTGTAGTAAAACCTACTTCTCTTACCTGGTCTCTTTAGTCCTATAATTGAGTCCATTTTAATGTGAATATTCTTCAGCGTCCTTTTTCTTCTTTGCTGTGAAGGCTTTATCAAGTACCATTTTGACCTATAGTTTATTATAAATGTAACCAAGTCTAAATTAAGTCATTTCGAGGTTATGGGTATTTGGGGTTTGTTTTGTTTGTTTTGTTTTTTCTACAACATGTGCCATTTCTTCTCCCGTGAGCAGGATGTACCATTCCTAAGCCAGATGTGATTACTTTATTGGAGCAAGAGAAAGAGCCCTGGATGGTAATGAAGGAAGGGACAAGGAGTTGGCACACAGGTGAGTGACAGCAAATCAGGCAGGGGGAAGCCATCAGAAGTTATGGCCCACTGGGTCAGGGAAGGGGCACATCCTTGAGTTGCTGTTTGGAAAGCTCCCTTCAAAGGCCCAAGGCTTGTGGAGAAAAGGCTCAAAACCTGGGAAACATTAAGATTTTTCAGCATGAGCTGCCAAAGGAAGTTTGCCCCCATTTGCCACACTCCTTGTTTTTCTCCTGTTATGTTCCCTCCCACTTCAAAGAGGGGCTGCTTTCCTTCTTCCCCTATGACCACCATTTTTTTTTTTTTCCTTTTTGTCTTTTTTCGTGTCCGGCAATGGACCGCAACCCTCAGTGTCGTGCCCGCCCCTCGCTCAGCCAGTGAGCGGGAACTGGTCTGTATGTGAGATCCGAACCCTCGGCGGGAGCGCCGCCACGCTCCCAAGCAGCGCACTGTAGAGCGCGTTGGTGGTATAGTGGTGAGCATAGCTGCCTTCCAAGCAGCGCACTGTAGCAGTGCACCACCGGGCAGGCCCTATGACCACCATTTTATCTATATTTCCAGGTCCTCTTTATATTCATTCCTCCATTGCCTAAAATTGTTTTATTCAACAGACATTCTCTATTCACCTAACCTAAACAAAGCACTGTGCTAGAGTTTAGGCACTATTGATATACTTTCCTACCACCACGGAGATGTTGGTATTATAGTAAGGGAAACATGGTAAACGAGGAAACATAATATCAGGTTTTGATATGTGTGGTGAAGAAAATTAAGCAGGGTAAGGAGACAGAATGTTGGGGAGTTGGAAGGGCTAATTTAGATAGGATCAGGAAAGGCCATTCTGAAATAATGACTTTTTTTTTTCCTCCAATTTATTTTTTATTGAAGCATAATTGGTTATACATACTTGTGGGGTATAAAATTGACTCTCAATAGTTGCGTACAATGTGTGATGGCCAAATCAGTATAGTTATTCATCATTACAATATGTGATCATTAATTTCTCAGCCACCCTCCCTCTCCCCATTCCCATCCCCCTTTCCACCTCTAGTAACCATAGTTCTGTTCTCTCTTAAAAGTTCAACATATGACCTTTGAACAGAGATATGAAGTAAGGTCTCAGGCCATGTGAAGATTGAGGAAGAGCATTCCAAGCAGAATAAATTGCAAATGTGAATGTTCTGAGATCAAGTGTCATCTGTGTTTATTCCCAAACCAGATTATGCCAACTGATTTGAATACTCTTGTAGAATTATTTTTGTGTTCATATGTTTTTACTTCTCTTGGGTTTTCATTTCTCTTGGGAATATGTAGAAGTGGAATTGCTGAGTCATAGAACAGTGTATTTTCTTAATCATATGTATTAAGGTATAATTTACATAATATAAAAGGCATCAATGGGGCCGGCCCGGTGGCGCACTGCTATAGTGCACCGCTTGGGAAGCGCGGTGGCGCTCCCGCCGAGGGTTCGGATCCCACATACAGACCGGTTCCCGCTCACTGGCTGAGCGAGGCACGGGAGCAACACCGAGGGTTGCGATCCCGTTGCCGGTCCCGGTCCGGTACGGGGGCGACACTGAGGGTTGCGATCCGTTGCCGGACATGGAAAAAGACAAAAAGGGAAAAAAAAAAAAAAAAGGCATCAATGTTAAGTGTCAACTTCTATAACTTTTTATAACAGTGTTATTTACATATAATTGGTACACAATAAACTGCATGTATTTAAAGTATAAAATTTGATAAGTTCACATGTATGTTGTGAAACTATTATACAATCAAATAATAAACATATCCATTACCTCCAAAAGTAATCCCTCCATCATGCCACTTTCCACCCCCTGCCCGGGCAACCACCCATCATCTCTCTGTCACTATGGATTAATTTGAATTTTCTAGAATTTTGTAGAGATGGAATTATACAGTGGTGATTTTTTTTTTTTTTTTTTCTTTTTGGTGGCTGGCTGGTACAGGGTTCTGAACCCTTGACCTTGGTGTTACAACACAGCCCTCTAACCTACTAAGCTAACTGGTCAGCCCCTGATTTTTGATTTAGCTTCATTCATCCAGCATAATTATTTTGAGATTCATCCATGTTGTTACATATATCAATACTGCATTCCTTTTATTATTGAGCACTATTCTGTTATATGGGTGTATCACAATTTATCTATTTACCTTTGATAGACATTGAGTTATTTCCAGTGTTTGACTATTTCAAATAAAGCTGCTGGAAACACTCATATAAAAGTCTTTGTATAGACATATGCTCTCATTTATCTTGGGTAAATATCTTGGGTGGAATGGGTGGATCATATAGTAAATATATGTTTAAACTTTTAAGAAACTGCCACACTGTTTTGGAAAGTGGTTGTACTATTTTACCTTCCCAGCAGAAGATTGTAAGAGTTCCAGTTCTTTCACATTCTTGCCAGCACTTGGTATGGTCGGCCTTTTCAGTTTTGGCTATACTAATAGATGTATGGTGGCATCACATGGTGGTTTTAATTTTCATTTCCCTAATGGTTAATGATCTTGAGCAACTTTTCATTGCTTAATTTCTCATCGATATTTCTTTGAAATGTCTGTTAGAATCTTTTGCCCATTTTCTAATTGAGTTGTTTATTTTCTGATTAATGGGTTTTTAAGAGTTCCTTATGTATTCTAGATACAAGTTCTTTATCAAAGGTGTGGCTTACAAATATTTTCTCCCACTACTTGGCTTTTCACTCTCTTAACAGTGTTTTTTGAATAGCATATCTCTTAATTTGATTGGATCAAATTTATCGCTTTTTTCTTTTTTGGACTGTGCTTTTAGTATCATATCTATGAAGTATTTGCCAAACCCCCAAATTACAAGGCTTTTCTGTTTTTTTCTAGAAATTTTATAGTTTTACATTTTTACATTTGTGTACCACCTGTCCACAACTCTTCCAGAAACTTGGGGAATAGTTCTAAACTCATTCTACGAGGCCAGCATTATCCTGATATCAAAACCAGACAAAGACATGAGAAAGTATAAGTCAATATCCTTCATAAACACAGATGCAAAAAGTCTAAACAAAATGTTAGCCATTTGAATCCAACAATTTATGAAAAGAATAGTGGTGGCTGGAAGTCCTTGGCGTTCCTTGGCCTGTAGATATGTCATTCTAGTCTCTGCCTCCATCTTCATATCACCTTCTCTCGTCTGTCTAGAGTCTAATCTCCTTCTGCCTCACTCTTATAAGTACATCTGGATAAGTATGTTGGATTTAGGGCCTACCCTAAATCTAAGATGATCTTATCTTGAGATCCTTAACTTAGTTACAACTGAAAAGACTCTTTTTTCCAAATTAGGTCACGTTCACAGGTACTGAGAGTTAGGCCTTGCACATATCTTTTTGGGAGCCACCATTTAACCCACTACATTTAACTCACCATGTAACCCGTTACATCTGGGAGTAACAGCGTTTATTTTCTTCCTTCCTAATGCTTATATTATTTTCTTTGCCTTACTCTACTAGCCAGGACCTGCAATATAATTATTGAATAGATGTGAGTTGGAGCATCGGTGGGATGAATGAATAGTAATAAAACTCATCTGTTGCTTACTAAATATAATATCTCAGTACTTTAGTTGGGATAGGGATGAAGAAAAGCAACCACAGCAGTGTGCAGGGCACAGTGTAAACAGTGGTAGAGATATCTTATGCTCAAGGTAACAAGAAGTCACTGGAGAATGGTGAGATATAAAATTGACACTTTTCCATTTGTGCCTTTGACTGAGTAATCTTGGATGTACCTATGTGCCCACTTGTAAGAGAAGTGGAGTAGGAAAGAGTATATTTAATCACTGTACTAAGATGACAGAGATTAGAATCAGGGAGATATATTCATAACTGTAGCATAATTTGGGGAAATTAAGTTATTATTATACTTAGCTGCCTTCCTCAGTGACTTATTCTTGCCTTATTACCTTTTTGAATCCAGTGGTTTATTTGTCCTACTGTTATTTAACACATCCTGTGTGTGTTAGAGCTGGTTATTCAATGGCAGGAATTAAAACAGAGATTGTGTCTATACTTAGAAAATTGTAGGCATAAGGAAATCCACAGAATAAATGAGAAAATTAATGAATACATAACTGAGAAAATCCACAGAACTAGATACTGGAATATGGAATCTAGAGCATGGACTGACTTAGATGTGGTCAGCAGGGACACCCTTTCTGAGGAAGTGACACTTAATCTGAGATCTGAACAATGAAAAGGAGCCCACCATGTCAAGAACCAAAGTCAGAGGATTCCTGGGAGAGGGAGCAGGCTAGAAAAAGCCTTAAGATATAGGACAGGTTGTAGCATATTTTAGGATCTGAAAGAGTGCATTGTGGTGGGAGATTGAGAACAAAGAGGACAGTGGCTTGTGTGGATCTTACACATAAGCAATGGCTTTTTATCCATGGTAATATGTTTGAAATTTATTCTAAGGGTAAATAGATGCTTTTAGAAAAAGCCTAAGGTACGGATTTTCAAAATGTCCTTCATCAAAATCATCTGATGAAAAAGATGAAAACTACAGATATCTAGGACTTGCTACTCTAGATTTTCATTCAGTTTATCTGATTTGGTGCTTGAAAAGCAGTTTATATAAGGAACTCCCCTAAATCCATCCTAGATAGGAGATTCACTTACTTAATCTATCCCCTACTAACCTATTTTACCCTTTGTAAAAGTCACATTATTTTCTGAGGTCTTTTTACCTTCTTTCAAATTGCATTACAGTAATTTAGAGTTCTCTGAGCCAGGAGCAAGCGGACTGTAGCCCATGGGCCAAATAGCTTACTGCCTGCTTTTGCATGGCTCACAAGTTACAACTTGTTTTTGCATTTTTAAATGGTTGAAGAAAATTAAAAGAAGAATTTTTTTGACATAAAAGTTTTTTGAAGTTCAAATTTCAGTGTTCATAAATAAAGTGTTCTTATAACACAGCTAATTTATTTAATTACATATTGTCCATGGCTGCCTTTGTGTTATAATAGCAGAGCTAAGTAACTGTGACAGAGACCTTATGCCTCACAAAGTCTAAAATCTTACTGTCTGGCCCTTTATAGAAAAAGCTTGCTGACTTCAACTCTAAAAACCTTTTACTTCTAAGGTGTATTATTTCAGTTTATCTTTTATTTCTACTATAAGGTGCAATCCCCCATCCCACCACCAACACAGAAAAACAGCATTATGGCATTAGTTTGCTTTCACTTTTTGTTTTCTTGCAGATTTGGAGTGCAAATATGTCACTGAGAAGTTATTTCCAGAAAAGGATGTTTGTGAAATATATTTATCTCAATTGCAGACAGTGGAAAAAAGTAAAACCTACATCTCTGAGGACACCATTTTCAGAAATGGTTTGCAGTGCAAACATGAATTTGAGAGACAAGAGGGACATCAGATGGACTGTGTTAGTCAAATAATAATCCAAAAACAAATATCTTATCCTCTACATCAGAAAGTTCATGCTAGAGAGAAATCATATGAATGTAGGGAATGCAGGAAGTCCTTTAGACAACAGTCATACCTTATTCAGCATCTGAGAATTCATACTGGTGAGAGACCTTATAAATGTGCAGAATGTGGAAAGGCCTTTTGTCGAGTGGGAGACCTTAGAGTACATCAAACAATCCATGCTGGGGAGAGACCTTATGAATGTAAAGAATGTGGGAAGGCCTTTAGACTTCATTATCACCTTACTGAACATCAGAGAACACACTCTGGTGTAAAACCCTATGAGTGTAAAGAATGTGGGAAGGCCTTTAGTCGTGTTAGAGACCTTAGAGTACATCAGACAATTCATGCTGGGCAGAGACCTTATGAATGTAAAGAATGTAGGAAGACCTTTAGACTTCATTATCAACTTACTGAACATCAAAGAATTCATACTGGTGAAAGGCCTTATGAATGCAAGGTTTGTGGAAAGACTTTTAGGGTGCAACGACATATTAGTCAACACAAGAAAATTCACACTGGTGTAAAACCCTATAAATGTAATGAATGTGGGAAGGCCTTTAGTCATGGCTCATACCTTGTTCAACATCAGAAAATTCATACTGGTGAGAAACCCTATGAATGTAATGAATGTGGTAAGTCCTTTAGTTTTCATGCAGAACTTACTCGACATCACAGAATTCATACTGGTGAGAAACCCTATGAATGTAAAGAATGTGGAAAAGCCTTCCGTCTTCAGACAGAACTTACTCGGCATCACAGAACTCATACTGGTGAGAAACCCTATGCATGTAAGGAATGCGGGAAGGCCTTTATCTGTGGCTACCAACTTACTTTACACCTGAGAACTCATACTGGTGAGATTCCCTATGAATGTAAGGAATGTGGGAAGACCTTCAGTAGTCGTTATCATCTTACTCAACACTACAGAATTCATACTGGTGAGAAACCCTACATATGTAATGAGTGTGGGAAAGCCTTTCGTCTTCAGGCAGAACTTACCCGACATCACAGAATTCATACTTGTGAGAAACCCTATGAATGTAAGGAATGTGGGAAGGCTTTTATTCGTAGCAATCAACTTATTTCACACCAGCGAATTCACACCAATGAGAATACCTATGGATGTGAAGAATGTGGGAAGATTTTTAGTCGACGCTATAATCTTACTCAACATTATAAAATCCATACCGGTGAAAAACCCTATCAATGTAAAGAATGTGGAAAGGCCTTTCGCTTTCAAACAGAACTCACTCAGCATCACAGAATTCATACTGGTGAAAAACCCTATAAATGTAAGGAATGTGGGAAAGCCTTTATTCGTAGCAATCATCTTACTCAACATCACAGAATTCACACCGGTGAGAAACCCTATGAATGTAAGGACTGTGGGAAGACCTTTAGTCGTCACTATCATCTTACTCAACATCACAGAATTCATACTGGTGAGAAACCCTACACATGTAATGAGTGTGGGGATGCTTTTATTTGCAGTTATCAACTTACCTTACATCAAAGAATTCACACTGGTGAGATTCCATATGAATGTAAGGAATGTGGAAAGACCTTTAGTCGTCGGTATCATCTTACTCAACATTTTAGACTTCACACTGGTGAGAAACCTTATGGCTGTAAAGAATGTGGAAAAGCCTTTCGCCTTCAAGCAGAACTTACTCGACATCACACAATTCATACGGGTGAGAAACCCTATAAATGTAAAGAATGTGGGAAGGCCTTCAGTGTTAATTCAGAACTTACTCGACATCACAGAATTCATACTGGTGAAAAACCCTATAAATGTAAAGAATGTGGGAAAGCCTTTATTCGTAGTGATCAACTTACTTTACATCAGAGAAATCATATTAGTGAGGAAACCCTATGCATGATGTAAAGAGGACATGATGGCCTTTAGCAAATGCCTTTCACAGCAGCAGAGAATTTGTAATTTAAGAAATTTCTTACCTGTTAGGGAACATGTAGGAATCCCTTTTGCTTCATGCTCAGAACTTAGCAGAAGTGGTGTTAGATGTTCGTTTAAAGAGTTGAGAAACTGTAGCATTTCTCAGTCCTGGTTACACTTTAACAGCTTGATACCGGTACAGTGTATCTCAAACCATCAAGGACTTTCTCCCCTGCAAACTGCGGTTGAACAGTACTTCTATAAAATGCAATCATATTGGATTCCCAAAAAAATGGAATGGAAAGAAAACAGACATACAAAATAAAAGCCCAATCTGTTATTATTGAATTTAACGGGCATAAATTAGCTCTATCAAATTGCTAAAGTTTCTAAATATTTGCTCTCACTTACCTCAACTCATTGTAGACCAGAAGCAAACAATTTGTGGACCAGTGTCAGCACATTGACCACACTTTATATAGCATGGTAACAGAACATGATTCTGTTAATATAAAGAACATGGGAAAGACTTTAGCAATGGTATGTCTTTGCTATAATTTTCATAATTCCACTTTGGCCTGTGTGTGGTATTTGGCAAAACACTTCTCCCCTCTGTACTTCACTTTTAAAATGGTAATAATAGTACCTACCTAATAGTATTTTTGCAAGGATGAAATATTAATAGAAAATAAAGCCTTTAGAAGAGTGTTTGACATGTGCTCAATAAATATTATTGTTCTTAATTTTATCATTAGTGGTACTATTAGTAAATTCATGTAAGAGGAAGACCCTGTGGGTGTAAGGAATTTGTAAAACCTGTCCTTTATCTTTTACTCCTTACTTAAATTTGGGTGATTGTGAATAAAATCCAGTAAAATAGAGTAAACTTTCTAAAATCAAAACACATCTCTGAAAATCAGCATGAGGAAAAAAACTCTAGATATGATGAGTGTGAAGATTATAAGAATAAAGCTTTTGAAGAATCTGGGAGAGCTATAATGCTTTCCCTCTCCAAAGCTAAAAAGATATGTTACAGTCTGCTTCTTCTGTCCACAACTCATGATAAGTTAGAACCTAATAACCGAAAGACCACTGTCCATTTGGAAATATTAAAAGAATAGTACATGAACACTAGTATGTCCTCTAGGTTCAGCAAATTGTTAATATGCTGTAATATCTGGTTTGCTTCTCTATAGTATTTACTTATTTTTGCTATAGTATTTGAGTATAAATTGTTGACATGACATATCCCATCTCCTAAGAATAAAGGCTGCCTCCTGTTTAATCACTGTATACCTTCACACCTAAGGAGATTAACAAAAATTGCATAATCTGTAATATTCAGTCCATATTCATATTTTCTCAATCGTGTGAAGAATGCTTTTAGTAGGTTATTTTTTTAAACTTAGGAATCAAAATAAATTCATGGATTGCATTTGGTTATGCATTTTTCCTCTCTTTTATAAGAACAGCCTTCCCCCCCCACAACTTCATTGCAACACTGACTTTTTAAGAGTTCACAATACTTGGGCCGGCCCGTGGCTCACTCGGGAGAGTGCGGTACTGATAACACCAAGGCCCCGGGTTCGGATCCCATATAGGGATGACCGGTTCGCTCACTGGCTGAGCGTGGTGCTGACAACACCAAGTCAAGGGTTAAGATCCCCTTACCGGTCATCTTTTAAAAAAAAAAAAAAAGAGTTCACAATACTTATAGAATTTCATAGTCTGGTTTTTTCTCATTGTTTTCTCAAAGTATTTTAAAATGTGCCCTTTTATCCCCAGTATTTCCCATGAACTGGAAGTTAGGATTAGAGACCCAATTAGGTACAGATTAAATATTTTGATTAGTAGATGATATTTTGTATTTCAGTTTGTAACCCATTAGGTGGCATACAATGTCATATTATGCCACTGTGTTATTCTACATTCATTCACCTGGTGTAGCAGAATGTACTTTCCTTTTTTTTTTTTTTTTTAACAGATGACCGGTAAAGGGATCTTAACCCTTGGCTTGGTGTTGTCAGCACCACGCTCAGCCAGTGAGCAAACTGGCCATCCCTATATAGGATCCGAACCCGTGGCGTTGGTGTTATCAACACCACACTCTCCCGAGTGAGCCACGGGCCGGCCCCAGAATGTACTTTCCAAAGCCGGCCACACCAAAGTATTCCATTCTACGGGTTTACCTTACAACATGATACTGACACTCACCCATCAAGAGGTAGAGCCCACAGTGCTTCCTTTTGAATCTGTATTTTGAAACAAATATTGGAGGCCATCACTTTGTCTCTCCTGCTCACCACTCTATCCCTAGCACTTAATACTGTCTCTTCAACATAGTAAGCACTTGATAAAACGGTGAAGAGAATGAGTACGAGGGTACTTTTTAAAGTTCATGGAAAGGTATTATCTTTTAATTCTACTTTTTCACCAACTCTTTGAAGTAGCCTCATAAGCATTCAACTCAAAAAACTACCATAGTGCCCCCTTGTCTGTGGTTTCACTTACCCATGGTACAGTGCAATAAGATATTTTGAGAGAGATAGACACCACATTCACATAACTTTCATTACAGTATATTGTTATAATTGTTCTATTTTATTATTAGTTATGGTTAATCTTTTATTGTGCCTAACTTATAAATTAATCTTTATCATTAGTATGTATGTATAGGAAAAAACTGTTTGTAGGGTTCAGTACTGTCCATGGTTTCAGGCATCCAGTGGGGATCTTGGAACTCATCCCCCACAGATAAGTGAGGACGACTGTAGGGGGAAAATGCTCTAAGCCAATAAAAGAAAGGAATGGGGACAATTAAAGTAGGAGTTAATGAATTTTAAAATAAAATTTTCTTCCAACTTTGTGAAAAAATACTAATATTTGATTTTAGTAAATCTAATCAAGGGGAAAAGATGATAAAAATTACAGCATTGTGAATGAGAATGTGATATAACTAAGATGGGGGAGATTTTTGAAATTGTAACATTCTGTAAGTGTGTTCCAATATATTTAAAAATCTATACAGAATAAATTATTTCCTAGGGAAATAATTTATTGAACAATGTATAAAGGGATAAAATAAAAATAATATAATAAAAATAAAAATTGAGTCCAAAAAATTCAAGTTTCATCAAAAATTTCAAGGAGGAGGTAATATCAAAATTTCACTAGCTCTTTCTACACTGATAATATACTGATAACACAACAGATGAAGATAGCTGTTAAAAGGCAGATATGTAGGTGAGTTTCATTATGAAGATAAATGCAGAAATCCTAAATTATTAGTATATTTATTCAAAAGTTTACTAAAAGAGTTAGGCAAAGGAAATTCTTTACCTAGACTATTCAGAGACAGATCTGTTCAAATAATCCAGACTAATGATGGAAAAGGAGAACTGATCTAGTCCAGGTATCTTCAAGATCCATTTTGTTAGTTTTTTCTTAGCTTTAAATGGCTAAAGTATGGCCTAAATTGGATATGACAATTTCCTCAATGCTTAACAGCATGATTTTTCACATTTTAACATCTTTGAAATCATGGTGTATCTTACAACTGATAGCATCTTACAGTTTGTTCAGCGAGGTGGTAATCATGAAGCAATTTCGTGAAAACCCTTTCTGGTAAAAGAAACCCCAGCAACAAAATATATAGTTTTAATGGCATGTAGGGGTTTGTGTGTGAATAGATACAGTTGAATTTCAATTCTTTCTTTAAGAGAATTGTAATTAAAAATGGCCAACAGACACATGAAAAAATGCTCAACATCACTCAGCATTCGGGAAATGCAAATCAAAACCACACTGAGATACCTTCTCACTCCAGTTAGGATGGCTAATATCCAAAAGACTAAGAATGATAAATGCTGGCGAGGTTGCAGAGAAAAGGGAACTCTCATACACTTGGTGGGACTGCAAAATGGTGCAGCCTTTATGGAAAATGGTATGGAGTTTCCTCAAACAATTGCAGATAGATCTACCATATGACCCAGCTATCCCACTGCTGGGAATATATCCAAAGGAATGGAAATCATCAAGTCGAAGGTATACCTGTTCCCCAATGTTCATTGCAGCACTCTTTACAATAGCTAAGAGTTGGAACCAGCCCAAATGTCCATCATCAGATGAGAGGATAGGAAACTGCTATTTCTACACAATGGAATACTACTCTGCTGTAAAAAAGAATGAAATATTACCATTCGCAACAACATGGATGGACTTAGAGAAAATTATATTAAGTGAAATAAGTCAGGCACAGAAAGAGAAATACCATGTGTTCTTACTTATTTGTGGGAGCTAAAAATAAATAAGTATGCAAACAAATAAAGGGGGGGGGGAGAAGATACAACAATCACAATTCCCTGAAGTTGTTAAGACAAGTGAACAGATATGATGTAGTGGGGGGAGGGAGGGGGACAAGAGGAATGGGTAAAGGGACACGAAAATCAACTACAATGTATATTGAGAAGTTAAAATAAAAAAAGAAAAAAGAAAAAAATTTTTAAAAATCACCACCTTCCTCCAACTTAGAATGACTAAGGTCCATAACACATCATGTATTGTCAATCAAAATGTCTATGATCTCATGGATGCATTATGATCTGCAGCTCCAGGTCCTTTTATGCAAATAAGACAGCCATAATATATTCTTGTACAAGTCATTTACTATATAATAGATGATATCTATTGCCCAATATTTGCCAATTATTTTTATATATAACAATAATTTAGATGTAATAAAAATCAGAGTATTTTGAGACTTATAATAAAGCAAAATACCTTTATGTATTAGTTGATTATTCCTCCAGGGTACCAATGCCTTAACCCAACATACCTGGAAGAATGTTTCTGGGTACAGTAGTACCTAATGGTACTTGAAAAACATTCTATGGTCACATAGGCTTATGACATTTTGAATACTAAACTCCTTTTTTTAAAAAATAAGTGCTTATTATTAGGCTATCAAAAGACCTAAAAGTCCTACAATAAAGAAAATTTTCATAATTTTGTTGTTTTCAGTGTGTGGTAAATTTATTAAGGATGTCTCATTCACAATACCTAATGTCTTTCAGATATGAACCCACAGTGGAAAGCCCCCATAACAAAAAAGAGTGACCTTAAGGATGGAATGTTCAGATGTAATGGCAGATGCTTAGCTATGTTGGGAAAGGAAATGCACAGTGTATTTCTATGCTGCTCACATCTTCCTCTGCAATCAATTACTGGTCCAATATTTTTATGTGAACATATCATAATGTATTTAAAACTGCTTTTATTGACTAGTATTTAGGTTTTAACAAATTTTTACTATTTAAATATACTTTAATGAATATCCTTGTCTGTGATCATTGGTTTATGTGAACTGGAATTTCTGTAATTATATACACATAGAAGTACAAATTGCACATACATTATATACTCTTTCAGTTATGTTAGATATTGCTAAATTGACCATAGGTTATCTATACTTCCAGCTCTACTAGACATTGCCAGATTGTTTTCTTAGAATCCTATTAATTGATAAATTGAATGTCCCTGGAGCTGCACTTTAGGTATATGTTTTAATATGTATATATTTTCCTAAATTTTTGATTGAGCATTTTTTAAAACTATTTCTTGGCCAATCATCATTCCTTTACTTTCACTTTCCTATTGTTATCTTTCTGTATTATTTTTGTTTTTTGTTTGTTTGTTTGTTTTTCTTCCTAATTGACTTGAATGTCATTCTGGATACTTTGTTTGCTATATTGATGTAATTATTTTCTCCTACATTGAATATATAGTCTGAACACTCTATTTTTATGAGACAACTTTAAGACTCATAGGTTATCAATTATGCAATCTGCAAATAAAATTTTATTTTTCAATATTTATATTTATTGCTTTATTTACTTTTCTTATTACAATAGTTAGAATCTTCAGAACACGGTTGAATATTATGGTGATAGCAGGCATGTTTTTATCTAAATTTAATGAAAAATTTCCCAACATTTTATCGTTTACTGTAATGTTCACTCTTCATTTGAGGATAAATTCTCTTTGCTGATGCTAAATTTCCTTCAATATATGTAGAGGAGTGGTAGGAGACCTACTTGAGTAGAGACTGCTACTAATGTAGCATATTTAGTGAGCGCTAGATTTTGTCCAAGGCCATTTATCTGTTGCTATAATCTTATATGTTTCTTCTTAAATGTATTAATGTATTGATTTGTGCTTACTAATTTCTTGAATTAACATACTATGATTTTTGTCATACTGCTTGAGTCTACTTGGTAATATTTTAATTAGAATTTTTTATCTATAGTCATATGTGAGGCAGTATTACAGTTTCCTTTTTCTTTTATTGATAAGATTTTGGAACTGTAATGATCTGTTTTTTAAAAACTGGAAACAACTCTATATATTGTTTTTTTTAATATGAATTTTTATATATCAACATTTTATGAA